ATATATATATATATATATATATATATATGAGGCCTCTCGAGACTTAGGGTTCAACAGGGTTCAACACTGTTCAACAGTAGTGTGGAGAGACTGACAGAGAGAAGCAGAGGCACAGAGACAGGCCAGGTTCTCTGTGTTTCCTGTTGTTGCAATAAAACTCAGCTGATCATCTCACGGATTACCTTCATTCTTGGACCACGTATTTCTGTCTTTGTTAAATAAATATTACCATAACACTTTGTATGAAAWATTCATGAGCGTAAGTGGAACCTAGGGTTGGGCAAAATCATATACTGTAGTGTGCAATTAATCATCAGAAAAACTGTCAACAATTAATATTTGCCACTAGTGCCAGATGATGGCATTTTCGTGATTCATGATTTCATAATTCATTTTTTGGCCAATTTCAAACCCTACTGGAAATTCCTTCTTAACATTTTTGCCTTCTACACATTAGATTATGCCGTCTTGTGAAATGTATTACTTGTGAAAAGCGCTGATCTTTTTAAGTGTTGCCAGGACCTGGTAGGCRTCGTCTTCATCTGGTTCTTCACCCTGACAAACGACAGATCAAAGCTGTCAAACTCCTAATATTCCCTTCGCCTTGGCGCCTCTGTTTATGCTCAAAAAGAATCACACATAACATCTAAAAAACAAAAACAGAACCACTACAACCTCTTGCAGGAAGTCCTCCAGCAGTCTGTTGAACTTGTCTACCAATTCGTCGAGAAGTTGCGAGCAAGCGATGTCCACGCGGTTGAAGATGGTGAACTCGTCGTTGTGGAGATAGTGGTARGTGGTCGAACAGGCCTCCAGAACTTCAACGTCTGTGTGTTTGTCAACAACCTCCCAGATTTGTCGCAACAAGGCGTCCAGGTGCTAAATGTGACAAATGATAGTTTTACCAGCACTGCAAACAGAATTAAAAAAAACTGTAAATAAAAYCTCACAAACCTTTTCTAACCGGCCTGTAGTGTAGATGTCAAGATCGAAGTACTTTGGTATTTGTAGTAAATTGGTCACCTTTTCAATATCAACACAGTACTACAACAAGAAAAAGGTAAATAGTTAGGATTTATATTTGTCAAATGTTGGAGTCAAACCTTAAAAAGCTATGATGCAGAAAAAAAAGTTGCTACCTTTGCTAACAATAGAGGCAAAGCAACTGCAAACATCTCTGTGACCCGTGTCCGATCATCCAGCTGCGTTTTCTTCTCCTTCGCAGTCAGGACCTAATCCAAACAGAAAATTACGCCTACATTAAAAGACTAAATCGTTCAGAGGTTAAACTCGTCCAGTGCTAGGCCGTCAGACACCCACCCTCTTCCCTGTGCCTCTGCCTACAGGAGGGTGGCACTCACAAGCCTGCCGAATCGCACAGAGCATGAGCTCCACCAGAGCGGTCTCCTGCCGATCGGTCAGAGCTTTAAAAAACAAAACAATAAAATCACAATAACAGAATAACCTTTTCATCTATGCAACAGTCTGAGGCAACGAGTTACCTTCTTCTCCTGGCAYGGGTTCATCCAGCAACAGGCTGATCATGGTCTCCCAGTCCTTCAGCAGCTCCGAGGCACACTCCCACAGGCTATCCACCAGGTAGGCCCCGTGCTCATGGAGCTAGAAAGCATTGTGTGCTAAATTTAATTAACTAAACACAACTCAACAAACATCTGAAATGACAGAAAATTAGGGTTATGCTGGGCATGTCGGATGCAGCCTTTGGAAGGCGTGGTCACCTCGCTCTCCAGGAAGAAGAAGACGGTGGTTTTGATGAGACTGCCGTTGAGGCTCTGCCTGCCCCTCCTGGGTAACCCATCCTCATCTAGACCTCGATGGCTGAAGAGCCTACAATTTGTAAAAGATAGACATGGTTATAATAAGTAGTATTAGTAGGTAAAAACTTTAATTTGTGTAAAATATGTACACAACATGTTGCCATGTGTCCTGTAGTCATTTGTTTCTTAAACTTCTTYCCTTTGTTTATAGAATTTAAGCCCAGCAGCTTTTTCTTACGGTTGCTGTAAAAAGGTATAAATCTAACTAAAACTGACATGCTCCACAAATGAGAAAATTACAAATATTACAGTATATAACTTATGATATAAAAAATAAAAACGCACATAATATTCCTGAAAATGCTTCTTTTCTTTAAGTAATTTAATCATGAAGTTCAACTTMTTGGTGAATCGAAAAACCTCTTCACCAACTACAATATTAAATACAAGGCTGTGAAACTTTCAAGCTTATTACTTCTTTTGTTTCTTGTTACTAAGCACATTACTCACTTCTTGAACAGAAACTCTCCTGCTGAAACAGCGATGGGTCGGTGTGCSGAGTAAACCAGATGATACACACTCTCACAGTCCTCTGCAGTCAGAACCTCATCACTACTCCTGTCGAACAAAATGCAGCGACTCTCAGTGATAAACAACAGATTAATCTGAAAAATAACTTGGTGGTACTTTCTCTAACATTTTATTGGTTTTAGATCAGGAGAAAATATATATTAAACTGAATAAAAACAACAAACACTGCAATAAAAATACAACATCTGCAAGCTGCCAAGGAGTTCTGAAGTTTTGTTTCAAAACCAAAAGTGTTTATTAAATTAAGATGATCTTATGTGTGATTTTTCAGGAATCACACAGCGGTAAAACATATTATGTATGCAGTTTTATTCAAGAGAGAAGGAGGGTACTTACTGTAAAACAAGTGTCAGAAGTTTTATAGCTTGCACTGCAACATCATACTCTTTGTCCAGAGTCATAGACACAATGCGATCCTGTCAGAAATAATACATCTATGTTTAAGATCTGACATCCTATCATCCTGAAACTGGCTATAAATGATCATTTTTGCTTTGTTTTGTATGTAAAAATAAAATAAGGGGACGTCTAGTACATCACAAGCCTCTAAGTGATGATGAATGAATGAATGAATGCAGCTGCTGGCTCACCTTGAAGCGACTCGTGAAGAGCTCCAGCCGGGAGCCGAGTTCTCTGTTGTAGAACAGACCCTGCAGGGCAGTCAGGCACTTCAGCCGCACCTCACCTTGCTGCAAATATTTCCCACAGATCAGAACTTATTTATTTATCATGTTTTCCTAATGGTCTTTTTGCAGACACTGATGAGCATGCTCAGTGCTGGTATTTTGTGATGCACTGGCAACATAGCACGTTGAGGACATTTTGCCATCACAACATAAAATACCAAATGAACAAAAAGCAGCTGTAAAGGACCAAAAGACTAGAGCTGAATGCAGACCTTGAATACTAAAAGTAGATATGAATGACTTTATATAWGCCAGCATTTTCTCTACCATTTTCCAAGGCAGGCGGGTGGTCCTCCCAACAGAACCGCCMACCCTGCTTATCAAAATCCCACCCCTGTCAAGAAAGTCCTAAGACTTCCAGATGGGGAGCAGAGATTGCAGCAGCAGAACAAGTGGCATCAACCCAGCATTTTCAAAGTAGTGCTCCGATACCCCTCCACCCGTCCAACAACCATCTTCCCAAGGCCAGTAACGTAGGGGAAACACAGTATCCGTGAAAAGGTCAACTGAATAATCACACAAGACATTTAGATAATTCATAAACCATTTTTCCACAGTTCTTTCAGAGTAGTCTATCAACACAAGAGAAACTAACTGTGAAAACTGTATGGTTATTTAATTAATATTTTAATAATTTTATATTCCAAGTAACCCAACTCCCTCCAGTTCTAAGATGACACCAGTTTTGCAGCATAAATGCAAATTAAATCCTGTTTGCTTTACTTTGTTTTGTGTTGCACATCTTTTAGCTCACCTTGTCATGCATTGTCCAGCCAACGTACTTCAGGTAACTGTCATTGAGGAAGGCATCACTGTACAGCTTCATCCAGACTCCAATCTCCTCAATGCAAATAGCTCGAATTTCAGCAATGGCGTCGCTGAAAACCACAAGAACTGATTCAGTTCAGTCACAGTAAGGACTTATACAATCAAAAGCTCAAAGGGAAATGGAAAAAACAGCTTTTATTTTAGCTGAAATTTACATTAAACTTTGGCTATATTTATGTTGACAACTTTTGCCCACTAGAGGGTGCCAAAACGCTACAAAGAAACACCACAAGGCCTTGACAGAGCAGAGCAGAGCTTCATCATGAAATCTTGCAGAAAGCAAAGGGATTTACGTACCGATATCTGTGAACAAATACTCCCTTGAAAATAGCGTTCATCATGTTTTCAATTTCATCTTGATTTTCTTGAAGCTGAAAGAACAGCAATTTTAGATCACTTCCTGTTTTTAAATTCTCCCCAAAAAACACTTTTTTTTGTTTTAAATTATGTTTGAATGTGTTTTCATTTCATAAGATTTGAACTGTTCCTTATTTTTACAATTTTATTTGATTTTGACTAGCCCCAAAAATAAAAGCAATTTTAATTTCTCAAACAACTCTGCCTCAAAGTATGGCTTGTAAGAAGCTCTGTAGGAAAACTTGTTCTTGCTGTAAATCATTTTAACCACTAGGAAAGGCATCCCAGCTTAAAAAAAACACTTTCTATATAAAATAACTTTTTCTGTAAGGATGCAGCTTAAAAATAATTTAAAAGAACCACAACCTCAACATACTGTTAGCCTGAAAATAGTTTAATGAAGAAACTTTCTTCATTAAATAACTTCCTTTCTGTGGTCTTTTTTTACATTGGGGATTTCATAACTTAGCAACATTTTATAGATTTCTTTTATTCAATTCAATTTGATGACATTACTAAAACAAAATATTTTAAATGCATCAATTTTGGGGGGATAAGAAATACAAATCTTGTTACAATTTAAATCTCTAATAAATCACAAATTTAAACCAAACAAAGGCAAACAGCTCTCCAGGAGGTTGCTGCAAAATTTGATCTTTAAAGGATTTTTTGATTTGTCATTTAAGGCTTTCTTCACTAAGTGAATAGTAAAAGGTAAATTTCACTGCGAGTTTAATTAAAAATGTTTTTCTCTCGTGAGTTAATCATATTATAGAATAAAGAACAGTTTAAATACATTAATAGTATACTGCAATGTGCTACCACAGCAGTAAAATCTTATCACTTAGAAAGTAATAATATAACGTGGTTACATATTCTCCAAGTAGAACTCTAAAGCCATGTGGTCCAATATGACAGGCAGCCAGGGGAAGTGTCACTCATAGACATTAGATAAGAAAATATTACACACACACANACATTAGATAAGAAAATATTACACACACACACACACACACACACACACACACACACACACACACACACACACACTGAGGCAGCTGTCAGACCGATTAATGATGATTAATCATCTGTGGCTACACACTAAAATGTACAAAACAAAATGTTTTACACAAAGATAAGTCTTTTGCTGTTTTTAAGGTGTAAATAATTTTCACCATGCTGTCTAATAACAAGCCTTAAAAAAAGTGGACATGCTGGTAAAACAGACACAGAAGAGAGAGATTATATCTGTTTAAATATTAAAAGTTAAACAGTTTATTGCTTTTGTTGTGAACTAATTTTAAGTAGKTTTTTTTTACTTTATTTTGCTGCTGCAAAATAAGAAGCAGCTCCCACTGTAACAGAAAAATATGCAAAGTAGTTACTTTAGATATTTAACTTCTCACCTCTTTCCGCTTCTGTAACAAAAGCTCCAGCCTATCATTGGCCCTTTTCGCAATTACTTTGTTCCTTTCTGCCTCATACTGTCTCTGTGTGTTGTCCATATTAATGCTGAGGTTCAGAGCGACGTTCACCAAGGCCGTCATCAGCTTCATGGCTGGTGAYGACAGCGGGGGATGGGATATAAACATCAAAGCCACGCCAACGTGAACATACAGATATTCAGAGCAGAAAAACAAYAAACTGACCTGCTAGTGTGCTTGTATGTCTAAATGCTCTGACCTGTGAGTCAGACAGGCCAGTGAGCAGTGAGATGACCGTGTCCATCATGTACTCGTCGTAAATGATGCTGTACTGGCACTGACGCACGAGGACTGCGATGAAGTCACAGAAGTTTATCCTGAATCTCTTCCACTGTGGCCCTGAGAGTGTKAGTGGATAATCGCCGCTGTCCTGTTTGAGAACATCCCAGAAATAATCCGATTCAGAGCAAGAAAWATCAAATCATGTTTAAAACCAGCCACGAAAAAAAACAAAACAATAATAGCTACACCGGCACCTGGTGACTAACCAGATTTAGGTGTAGATGCATCAAACAAACTATGTAATTTATTTGTTTTTATTAAAACACACTCTGCATCACCTCGTCAAACTCCTCTGTCATTTTTCGGATGATTTCAGAATTCTGCAGGTGTCTGAACATCTCTCCGCTCACAGCACCTGCGTGAGGAATCACACCATTTCCACAAAAATCGTTACACAGATACAGTTAGCGACATAGAGACGACTGCACCGACGTTTCAAATAACTACCTTTACAGCCAGAGCACTGAATGAAGAAGTTGATTAGGTCCAAGAGAGCACTGTCCCTGTCTTGTTTGTAGGTCTCAATCCAGTCGTCAACAACAGACTAGAAACAAATCAACACATTTGACAAAGATACTTTATTCTTATTTCAAACAGTATGAAATACTGGACCCACTGCCACTGGCCATAACAAGTTAGGCCAACACCAGTATAAATAATTTAACATCTGTTCTAATAGAGAAAATAACTCACCTGTGTGGCACTCCTTCCTATTTTAACCACTTCAAATAARGTCATATTCTCCATCATGTTCTCCTGATGATGGCCGTTCACCCAGCCGGTACCAGCGACTCTTCCTGTTCCTGCACCTTTGGCCTTCTCTCCCRTTGCCTTCCTTCCCCTCTTGGCTGCCTGTTGAGAAGAACATCATAACTTTGATAAAAGGCTTATCTGGTCACTGGAAATCAAAAATAAGTCACAGTGGAGATGTTTTCATATTAACTAGGGTTGGGTGATAAAACAATGATTCTCACAATAGACATGTGATCAATATCAAAATAAAATATGTTTGATAGAACGTCAATTATTTCACTTACGGAAGTTTATGAAATTTACGCAGGGAAATAAACATTACGRACAGACCAGGACCAGAGATTGTGACAACACCTAACAACAGCTACTTAAACTACRCTACCCACCTCCTCTAGTCATGCTGGTGCAATTTATTCTTTATTTGTCTTCCGCTAGCTTCATAAAATAACTGCGATCAGCCCCACACTGCTTACTAAATTTACAAAATTTACATACGGAAATAATTTACGGAGCGGACTGGAGATCAACAACACACAACAGCTACTGGGGCTACCCGGCAGCTAAAGCACAGCTAATCAAGGTTGGTAGCATCATAACTCAATCACTCCTTGGTCAGCTAGCAACAACCTGCTGACATGTAGCAGCAGCAGTTTCAAGTTTCGCCACCATGACTCATAACTGCTTTAAAATAAAAAAGAACGACGTGGAGTGAAAATGAGTGCAACAGCGCAAGAGGAAATTTTGGATAAAAGAGGAAAGGCCACGTTACTAGTTTCGTAGTATTAATCAGCTTTTTTTCACCTGGTCCTTATTTATTTATTTCAAACTTTATTCATTTCTTAAAAAACTAAATTCTATATACAATGAAAAAAGAAAGGAAATACAATAAAATGAAAGGCAGCAGAGAGAAGAATTTTTTATATAATATCTGCCCATTTTTTCTCAAGTATAAATTCAAACAATAGTAATTTTCAGTTAACAAAACAAAACAAAAATCTTCCTAGAACAACAATTTCTATGAATGCACATTATACTATTTCATTCTCTTAAACATGTACATTGATTTGGCACTTTTAACATCAATTTCCAGATCATTCCACAATCTGACTCCTTGGATTGAGGTGCACCGTTCTTTCAAACAGGTTCTAAGTTTAGGTTTCATGAACAWCTCTGTCCCCTTAAGATTATAACAGCTCTCKCTCTTTGCAAAGATATTCTGGATGTTAAAAGGTAATGTGTTTTTGTGAGCCTTATACATAACTAACAAAATGTTATAATCAACCAGATYGTAAAATTTCAAWAACTTCAATTTACAAAATAATRYATTAGATGGATAATGGTAATGTTTTCGAGTGACAACWCTTAAAGCTCTTTTTTGCAAACAGCAAACATGCTTTCCCMCATACCTCAACACAATAAACCARGTGTGGAACAATTAATGCATTATATAACATRTACAGAGCTTTATCATTAAGCAAGTCCCTTACTTTGTAAAGYAAWGCAATWGTTTTAGCTAGTTTTATTTTTAAATAATTTACATGAGGTTTCCATGTCAGTTTCTCATCAATAACACCCAAAACCTTTACCTCCCTGATTATTTATCTCCACACCATCAACTCTAAATTGAATATTAACAGTTCTTTGTCTCTTTRTAAATATCATATAATTAGTTTTACCCAAATTTAGTTATAATTTATTAATTTTAAACCAGTTTTGTACATTAACAAATTCTGTTTCCATTTTTTCTGACGTCCGTTCTATGTCTTTACGCAAACAAAAAAAGTGGTATCATCTGCAAATAAAACACTTTTGAAAAGCCCTGACACATTGACCAAGTCATTCACATACAAGATAAACAACTTTGGTCCAAGTACAGAACCCTGAGGAACTCCAAATGTAATCTCCTTAAAATAGGTAAAACAATAAACTAATCAATAATTACTGATATAGACTAATATATAGTGATACATTTTTTAGCTATATCGCCCAGTCTCATTAATAACATTTGATGCAATGATCCAATAATTACTTTATTTCTAACTAAAAGAAAAACAGTACAATATCTCTTTGTTCTGTTGTGGTCTGATGACCAGKTGATGTTGTACAACATAGTGGGTAATGAGTAAGCTTGCCAGATTTACATAAAAAAGAAAAACATACCATTCCCCTTCCTGCTCTYGCATTTTTTCCATCAGGATCCTCAAGTTCAGTATCTGAAGACAGCTGAGATTCTGCATCTCTGTGTAGAACAAATTAAAACATTAAAACTACCTAAAAGTAACTTAAATAAACAATATTGGAGACAAATGTTTAGTGAYACATATTTAGATGACGATAAATTCCTGTGATTCCCTGCTTACTGAGGAAACTGAAACTCTGCATGCAAATCCTGCGCTGCTATCATTTCTTCAACATCTTCCAGACTTGCTGAAGAAGGAACTCAAACCTCTCTGGCCCCTCAAGAAACAAAGTATTTCTTCACAGACACCTGGAAATGTAAACAAAATAGGATATATATTAACAGATTAAGCAGTAAATCTCAATTAAAAACCACACAATCTGTTTGAAGCTCAACTGACGATGTTAGGGCTGTTGCGATTATTCAGCATAACTATTTACGGCAGCAAGATTTTTAGTCAACACCACCTGTTTAATTTTCATTTTATCTTTTATTTTCCTGAACATTTCAATAAGAAGTGACAGCAGTTTTTCTACACCCTGCTACCCTGCGCTGCGTAGGTCAGTCAGGTTTCATGTCAGTTCTGAATTACAGCCACACTTTCACACCATCATGGCGAGGAGTTTCTTTGGTAAAGAGCAGCAGCAGAAGAGCTGAGGAGGTATCACTGTAAAATGTTCTCTATAAAGTTAAACAAGTTGTTTGTCTGCTACGTTTTGCAATGAATAAATGGTTTGGCTTTAAGGCCAGAATCCGGACTTTTATGTGATTGATTAAAGCTGTGTGTGGTGTTGGGCTGAGTTGTGTTCCCACGTTGATATCTGATTTCCCGACAGCTTATTTCTGTTTTTATAACATTATTAAAAAACACTGGATCTTTTCTTTTTGTCTATTACATCAGGGAAATGTATCCTGATGGCTGGGGAAACATCTCAACAGGGCAACATGTCTCAGTACAACACCTGTGTGTGTTGTTCCCTCACTTAAACATTGAAGTATAGATGTTACATGTCTACTCCAATGTTACTGTGATGGATTTGTGACCTGTCCAGGGAGAAGCAGCTAAATAAAATGGATGGATAATTTAAATTGCAGCTGCACAATTTTCAATCCACATTAAGCTTAGCATWACACGGCAGCAAATTTGTATTTGGTCGATTATTTTTTTGTTGTAACTAGGCATGGGCCAGTTACCAGTTTCACGTATGTGGCTGTGTATGGTTCTTCCACATGCTACTGAGGTCCCTGTTTGTTAAATTAACAAACTGTTAAAGTTTCCATATGTTCTGTTATACTTTAAGCCAATTTTCTTAATTTTTTACAGATTTGGTAATGATATATTCTCCAATATGTCATTTTAAAATAGTTGTATGATCCTTTCCAGGTTTTTAATGGTAAAGTCAGGTGAGTGAATTCATGCAAAATGATTCCTCGCCACAGTTTGCTGCAATTTACAAATCTACTTCCAGTTAAAAAACAGGCAGCATCATTTTGAACAAATGGGAGGGTCATTGAAAGGACTGACTGACTCCAAACTGTYGAGTTGTGATAAAAGCATTGATTATTCAGCAAAGGTCACATTTTTACTTAACAGCTAAAAACACTGGAACCCCACAGACAAGTGGCAAACATGATGAAATTGCGAGAAAATCAGCCACAACCAAATACCTATGAAGAGCCACTTGAATTGTAAGAATAAAGTCCAAGCTGTCAACATGAATGCAGGGCCAGTCATTGGATACCCTGCTGACATACAGCCTGGCTAAAGCAGAAGATAGAAACCACTGATATCAAAATATGAAAGTTTTTCACAATGCATGGGGATTAGAGCTGGGCAGTATATCAAAACACGGTTTTCATTTTTGTAATATGATTTGTCCAAATACCGGCATACTGGTTTACATCGCCCGAACATGTTCTGACCATTAYATCATGCCTGCCAGTAAACTGTTTCATGGGGGGAGCTTTTCTGCGTACCACCACTGAATATGAATGCAGGAAGTAGGTGGCAATTTTGTCGCTAGCATTGGCTGACAAAAATTTTAAAAGCCTCCCATTTTCACCATCGCTGAATGTAGTGATGTGCAACTAGACTTCATGCATGAATTAAATTTGCCTGATAATGATCTTTGCTCTGCTTTCCTCATTCACGAATGTACCTGCCTCCCCTCACTAAGGTGATGTAAACCCAGAGTGTGCAACTAATGTTTACAACCAGGGAAGGACGAAAAGACAGAGGAGGGAAAGCGGGACAGACAAAGGTTCAGTAAAAGAAAAAAGTCAAGAAATTGTTTTTGTGTTGCAGAAACAGAGTAACAGTTGACCCCAGTTTGCTTATCAATAAGCAGAATTTGTACATTTAAACATCATCTTGAGCTGTGATGAAAAAAAACTGTCCAATAATACTGTGATACAGATAATTGTTAAAAATACTGATATAAATTTTGGTCATACTGCACAGCCCTAATGGAGGGTTTCACTTTAATTTCAGCACCATCAGACTGTACACCAAGAAAAAAGGAGTTTCTGAGCCACTATGAAGGATGGAACAACAGGTGCTGGATTACATAAGGAAGAAAGACTCTAGTAATAAGCTATTAAGTGAATGTCTCAGTCAGCAGAAACCTAATGTGGAAGAGGTGGAACAAAAGGAGACATCATTCAAAGATAAGCCCCTGCACTGCATGTACCACCTGCAGGTGGAGGAAGTAGCTGAGATCAACAAATCTTACTGGTGATTAGAGGGGACTGGACTGGAAAACAGATCATATATCAGAGGAACTAATCATGTCATCACAAGAGCAATAGAGGGTGAGATCTACCGTACCGGGCAGGACCAAAGACGCAGGTTTAGCAAAGATGTCTCTGAGTTAGTCCAGTATATAAAAACAGGAAGTGAGATGCAGACAGGCAAAGCATAAATAGATGAAAACAATAAGAATAAAAAACAGCAACAAAACATCTTCAGGAACCAAAGAACAAMGTTTGTTTTCCCTCAGTTGTTGTATTGACAAGTTTAAAAACAGGATTTCGATTCTAACAGTTTTAAAGGGCTAAGCAGGACAAATTAAACATCTAAACACTAAACTCTGGCACACTTATTTAAAATGACCAAAGTTAGTTTTAACTGCTGAAAAGATAAATGTATAGATTTGATTTCTTATTGTAAATTTATTGATGTACCAACTGCTGCTGTTTAAAATAATCCAATTACTGAGAATTCAGTCTATATATTTATTTTATAGTTGTTTTCTCTCATCTAGACTGTTATTTACTACTTTGAAATGTATAAAAAGTACTTAAAAAGTGAACTGAAATGCAAACCGCATGTCTCCTGAAGAATCACTTAATGATGACATTCATTAAATTGTAAACAAGAGTACATTTTCTTTGACATTTAATTTATGATTATATATAATATAGAGCAGTGTTTCCCAAAGTTGGGGTCGGGACCCAAAGTGGGGTCCTGAAACATCAAGGTGGGGTCCTGAAAAGATTTTCTGAATTAATTATATTTTTGCCTTAGTTGTTACAAAGGAGTGAGGTTAGTGTATTTAAAATGGATAAATGTAGTATAAAAATATTGTTACTATGCCCAAGTTTAGTTGACCTGATACAAATGTTTATCATCTAAAAATAGCTGGGGGCACAGGTCTCTGCTACTGTTATTTTGTGGGTCAAAAGCTGAAAAGTTTGGGAACCAGTACTTTGGTTCCCAAAGTTGGGCTTGGGACCCAATTATGGGTCATGAAGCACCTTGGATAATCTCCAGAAATCAATTTAAAGGGTAATAAAACAATTGCTGATGTAATATTTTCAATATAACTGTTACAAAAACACAAAATAAGTATAAATAAGTATTTATATTTGTGTACAAACTGTTTAGATTGTCAAAAAGCCTGTGTTTTTAGGGTTATCAACAAAGTTCGTGTAATCAGACCAGTAATATTTGGGGTCACAAGTTTTTGCCATGGGTATTTTGTGGGTCAGAAGATAAAAAGTTTGGGAACCACTGATATAGAGAATATACAGAATAATATTCTGGAGAATAAAAATTATGCAAAATACACTAAATGTTTTGAGTTTATTCGTAACAAATTAGGGTTATTTATTTAAAAACAATCTCCCACTATAATGCAAAAAATAGACAAGTGGGAATATTTATGTAGGTCATGACTGTCATCAGAAACAAAAAGACATTTTTTTGTTAGTTTAGCAGATTTAGATTTTAGTGCACAGTTATTTCATCGACCTTTGATATCATTTCTTAAAAAGTATTTTCAATGTCAGGYTTCAACACACAGCTGACAAGACAGGCTGGTTTTACAGCTGGGCTCTCAACACTGGAATAACAGGATCAACACATTCACTGGTTACTTTAGGTTTTTTGTGTTGTTGTTGTTGTTGTTGTTGTTGTTGTTGTTGTTGTTGTTGGGGGCGGTGATGGTGGTAAATTTGCGAGCTTTCAAATCAGCTGATCAGACAGCGGTTCTGACAGGTGTGTCATGTAGTTGTGAAGTAAAACTGAGGTACAGATGCTGGTGAATCCTGCTCACTCTCATGATGATGTGCTGTTTGGATATGACGACCAATCCGAGCTTTGTTATCGATAAACACGTCAGCTCAACACAACGGTGTATCCCACTAGCTACGTTTAGAGATTATTTTCACTCATTTATCAGCACCATGAGATGATTAGTCCTCACTTTAAGATTTTGTTTATATATTTAACGTCACAATACTTCTTAGCTAGCGATAGTTAGCCGCAGCTAAGAGAAAGACTAGCTTGCTCAAAATCAAATGGTGCAAAAAGGCACAGTGTATATTTTTTCCAAATCGGTTTGGAAATATTCTCGCAAAGGCGTATTTCTGTGGTAAAGGCTGCTGATGACACGAACGCAAAGTCCACGATAAGTTAGTGGCATCAATAACAAACTCCCTGGATGCTAATGTTAGCTATCCGCCATTTTACAACTTACCTCGTTTTAATTCATGACGAGCAGAAACCAAAAATTAAAAAAATAAAAACGCTCYGGGTTGTGCACAGATAATGCGTTCATTTATTCCATGCACAAGCTGTCACTTTCTGTCTCACAATTAATTGTTTATTTTTTTAGCTAGCAATAAGGAGCCCCCTTGGTGGCTAATATAGCAAGGTACAGCATGTATTTTCTGTCGCTGTGAATGAGGCACGTGCACCACCTGTCGGTAGAACTGGGTACTACAGGCGCCTACATACAGCTGACTGTGAGAGACTTTGTTATGGAAAATGTCCACATTAATTAAAGTACTTTGTTTTCTGCTAGACTCTGTGAGTCATGGCAACTTTTAAAAATGTAATTAAAATTAAACAAGCTGTTAATTTTACTTGCTGCACAGTGACTTAGAGAAATTAATGCAGAATTTATAGTGACATAAAGCAACCACAAGCTTAATAAAGTGGAGCAAACAGAGATGACTGACAGGTTATAACTTCTCTTTTTATCAGTATTCTTTACTTGTTATAGTCAGCTATTTTGAGTAGCTGAATTTTTTATTGTGTTTAATGTGAGTCAAATTTTTAGTTTTAGCAAAGATGTTTCCCATTCTGACACAAAACCTTTGCTGTCATATTTTTAACAACGTTGTCCAGTTTTCTTACATGAATAGCTCCATTAGTCATGGACATCAGGAATGTGTTCTTTAGAGGAAACTTTGATGGATAAAATATTGTATTTGTTTTTCCAGCTATTTTTATTTCTTTTGTAAGAAATTGCAAGAGAACTGGATGATACTGAGGTCATATTTATGAAGAAATTCTAAAAAACAGAATTTCAGGATATTTGTTTGCTGTCATGAAAGCTTACTTGAGAAATACAGATATACAAGAGTTAGAGAATGACATTCTGATGTACAGTATATGTATCTTAAAGGTTTAAGATTTTGGATTTATTTGTTTATTTCTGAGAGAAAATAAATCTCTATAGACAACTTATTAAAGCTTGTCCTCTCATAAATTTATATCTTTAAAAATATTATGCATTTAACCTCCTGACATCCTGCATTCTGATGTTGGGTGCTTTAGTTTTAAACTGGTTGTCCTTAATCAGGGGGACTTATTTGTGTAACTTCAGTGTTTCTTTCTGTTTATGTTTCTACTAATCTTAAATAAGTAAGGCACATGTGTCAAACTGAAGGCATGCGGGCCAAATAAGGCCCTCATTGACATTTTATCCGGCCCCAAAGGTACTTTAAATGTAAAATTGTTTTATCGTTTCTCTTTTCATCACTGTCTTTACTGCATTCTTCTCATGGCAGCTGGCCAACATTCAAGCCAACAAGATTAAGTTTGAGTTTTTTTATTTTATTTTATTTTTGTATTATTTGATTTTGGTGTGGAAAGAGCAACAGAGAATCTACTTGAATTATCTTTTTCAGTATTCTTTTAAAGACAAATAATTGGATTTTTAGTGAGAGTTTTCTTTTTTTATTATTAGATGTAATGGATAGTGAAATGTATCTTTAAGAAATAATAAGTAATGACAGTAATTAACCCTTGGCTTGGACCAACTTTTGAATGTCGGCCCCCTTGCGTAACTGAGTTTGGCACTCTTGAAGTAGGGGAAATTAAATAAGCACACCAAGCAAAAGCTTGGGACTCAAGAGGATAAAACTGTCATGTCGATGGGGCCACTGATCCCTCTCCACTTTATTTTGCCTCAGGCCTACCTGTGATCTAATTAGACAAGTCAGCTAAAAAGTAATTTTATGTAAAACATTAAAACTTGGTAAAAAAAATAAATAAATAAACAAAACAGAGCAAATCACAGCTTTGACATTTTATTCATCCATTAATCATGTTTTATAAGTGGTGCCATCTTGAAAACACACGAGTTGTTAGTGATTCTGACTAATTTTTATGCCATGTTTTTAACCTATTTACATCAGAGTGTGTGTATTTAATGTGATCAGCGCAAAGATACTATGTCATGGGGGGTGGAATCACGATGTGATGCACTGCAGTGTCAACAGAACTGGATTCATGCATGAAAACAAAGAGAGAGAGAGAGAGAGAGAAAAGGCAACAGCTCAGGTAAGTCGTTTGGATAGAGGTTCGGTTTTCTGCTGGCTGGTTTTCGTCTACATGAACTCGTGGAGGAAGCTGTTTACTGTCCCCTCAGGRGTGTCCTCCAAAGGCTTCCCACGACAAAACGAGGGGACCACGAGCAGATCTGGATCCTTGATCTCAAGGTCAACATCGTAGGTACTGTAAAAAAAAGGTACATGGATCTAGTAGGGGCATGCATATGTAGCAACAAGTTTTTGCACATGCAACAGAGCAATGAACCGTAACTAACCTGAAAAGGAATGATGTGGTCTCAGTGAAATAGAAAGTGTTCACAGGCAAACATCCCATGGTTACAGACATGGAGTAGGAACCTGGAGAGAAAAATGAAGTCACAAATTAAGATCTAATCAATGTCGCTATATTATTTATGCATATAAGGCAATATTTTCTTCATACCATCCACTCCGTCTTTCATTTTTTTCAGCTTTCCTCCCCAAGTGTTGAGTTTCAAGCCCTCGCCTTCGATGGAAGAACTCCCAGAGGTCACCGTGCCGACAAACTTGGCGTTGTCGGGAATATCAAGTGGGTGCGAGGTCATTTGCAGTTTCTTTCTCTCACAGCTCTGGTTTTTGCTGTCGATCTCGTAAAAAATCCCCTGTCGAATATAGACACACAGCAGATTTGAGTTTCAGATTTAAGTGGTATTCTTTGTTAAAGTAAAAAAGAAAGGCAAGTGACCTCTTCAAAAAACATCAGCAGATCCAAAGCGATCGAAGTGTTTGTGGGGTGGCTCTCGTTCGACTGGAACCGCAGCTTCTGGCCCACCGAGTCGTAGGTGAATGTACCGACTGCTCTTATTTCACCCTTTAAGGACAGCTGGTTTCATTCAAAAAGGAGAGAAACAAGTTTTTAACATGTTAGAATAGCCAACGGATTAGAAAGTGCTCAGCAGCAACAAAGAAACAAGCTCACCACATTCATTAGTCCACTCATGTTGTGTGAATCTGCAAGAAAAATCTCATTTAGACACACCTCAAAAGCAGAGAACGTTTCAAATTCACTATTTAAAAATGCCTCGGAATATTAAAGCATCTGCAAATTCTTACGGCAAGGTTGGTGATGGTGATCCGCATGGCCGGCGGTCAAGCACATGAAGACGAAAAGCACAATGTCTGCATACATTGTCCCTGTCCAGGTGGAGTCACCAAACAGCGTTAGGAGTGGCAGAAAACGACCCAAAGTGCGTCTAGCTCTGAGTGAACTCACCACTCCTTTTTATATCACTAAAACCTGGCACAAATAATCGTTCKTGCGTAAAGAAGATRCAGGAAAGTCACCCCCCGCGCTTCAAACATCAAGCTGTGTAAACATGTCTGCGTCTGACCCGATGGGTGGTGACCCATTAAATTCTTTATTTTGACTRTCTTTTGATGTTTTTATTTTGTGACCAAACAACTGTCTTCTGCTGGTTTCATCCACTATTTGGTGGCGCAGCTTCACCTTCACTCCAAGAGCCTTCCAGTCTGACTATGCAGGAGGTTGGTTAGCAGGGGTGGGCAGGACTGATCTAAATATTAGTTGCACTAACTCAAAAGCACCAACTCAAATATTTAGGTCCCCTAATTCTAAAGCACTAAAATAATCCAGTTGACACATGAGACATTCTTCAGTCAACRTRAYACAATATTTACTGTGTGCAGAATTTTGTCACTTCATGCTCTTGGCAGGCCAAATGGGAGTCACCTGCAGGCTACATTTGGCCTGCGGGCCTTGAGTTTGACACATGTGACCTTGTAGATAAGTGACACGCATATGAACAAAATGTATGACAGCTTTCACCCTCAATTGTGAACAATAATGTTGATCAATAACATTTAAAGACCTCAGTTAGTGCTTCTAAATTTAGCCCATAAATTTAGCTAAACCACTAATGAATATAAAAAAATAGCAAAAGCCCTAAAGCACTAATCAGGAAATTAGTTCCTCTATTAGTGCTTTAGGGGAACTGTGCCCACCACTGTTGGTTAGTAAATGAACCAGGGGGTCTGCAACCTTTACAATCAAAAGAGCCACTTCTTCTCCTTGACTTAATAAAATGTATCCGGAGCCACAAAATGTGCTACAACTGGGATTATCAACTGGTGGTTCGTGGGCCTCTCCACGTGTGTTTAATAAGAAGCTTTTTCGGCCAATGGGGTGGCAATTATAAAGACTACAAATATAGAGTTAATAATGCTTATTATTTTTTATTACGCTTTAGAACAAAAGAAAGAACTATATTCATGTAAAAAACAAAAACACTGTATATAGTTAGTAATACTTATTATCTAGTCTRGTCTTAATGGTCTTTAAAGGGGATCCTGATAGATTTGAGAGAAACATCATACTTTGAGGCATGAGTTGGATTATTAATGTGGCTCACAGATAGGGGTCTGCAGCCTGTGGCTCTGGGGGTCTTTGAAGCTTTARCCAAAGCCAACTTGAGAATAAATTCTTTGTTTTTCTTATACTTGCAACAGAATAGGCCAGATTTAGCAGTTTTCCTGTCAATTAGTTTGCAAACATAAGATTAAAACTACAAACACAAGAAGTGAAACATGCAGTCCTAACTGGGCTTTTCTGAAAGCAGACAAGAAACCCAAACAGGATTCCAGCCAACAACCAGGTGAAAATAAAGACCCTAAACCCAGACCCAAACCAGTCGTCATTCCATATGTGGCGGGAGTTTCAGAGAAACTGAGACGTTTATTCTCTAAACATGACGTCCCAGTGGCTTTCAAACCCCAAAACATGTTACCACACAGATTAAGATCAAGTCAGCTTTAGCTTTTTCTAATAGTTCCACCATCACACGCAAAAGTGTGATGCTAACTTCAGTGTGTTCTCATTTTAATGACACATAGTTTCTGAGGTCATCGCAACTGTTCCGATTTATGAGTCATTTTAGACAGCATGGTTGAAAGCAATGATTCAAATCTTTCATGGGTTGTGAACATTTAATATCTKACCTGCTGTRTACAGCTCTTTGCACAGCCTCACTCAGGAGAAATAAAGGTTAATGTTGACCAGATGAGATGACAACAAKTCCAAGCAGGGCCAAGACCAAAGTTTTCTGGAAACAGCTTCAAACTCACAAAACTCTGAGCCGTTTATTCAATTCAAAAATACTTTACAACATCTAATTTCCCGGAAATTAGATGTTGTAACTCAACTAARGAGTTATTGTGGATGCTGATGGCTGTGGGCAGGAAAGATCTCCTGTATTACAGCAAAATTGAAGAAGCTGAACTGAAGACCCTCTGTTTTTCTATGACAGTCTGATGAAGAGGATGGTCAGCCTTGTCCACAATGTTCTTGATTTTATGTGAAATCCTTTTTGCTCCATCATTTGTTATGCAAAAACCATTTAATAAACCACGTTTGCATTACATAGTTATTTTTTAATAAAATATTATAGTTGTATTGTTATTTGCAAGTGCAAACAGCAGCTGCTAGCTGTAGCACTTCCAGTGCAATGTAAGTCCCGGCAGGAATATCAAAAAATTAAAAAACTAATAAGTGTTTGTGACGATGACTTTTTTAGCTTTGCTGTTTCTTTTTTTTTACTTTAATGTTAACTGGTAATATACTGACATGCTTATAGAGCTGTTTTTTTATATGACTGCACTTTTTTCAGTTTAATCCACTGAGTGTTTAACTGACCCGATCAGCACTTACATCCACATTTGACTTTTTTAAAGGTGACTACATTTATCATTGTTAGCTGGTCTCATTGGTTTTTGTTATTATCTACCATCCTACTTCTTCCTTCATGTAATAGATTTTATTTTCTTAACAAGAAATAAAATAAAAATAATCTTGTGTTGTCAGAAAGGTTTTACTCAATATCACATAAAAACTACACATCTGACTGACTTTTGCAACTTGACGTCTGACTGAAGAGCCATTCAGCTGATAATTTATTTCATCCCTCAAATAATAGTTATGGTGTATTTTAACAAACCACATAAAATATAGAGTCTGGGATGTTAATGAAAAAAAAGAGACAAACCAGAAATGTGTCACTGATTTTAAACAAACACTGTGCAGTTTCATCCAAACAATATTTAATAATCAAAATATGTCCAAAAATATTTATTAGCATCTTAGCAGGATTTTTTTTCTTTAAATTTGTTTTAGTAGCTCTTTAAAAATGTTCATTAAAAAGAAAAAAAAGAAGGAAAGAAAAGAAAGAAAAATGAAAGCACTTGACTCAGATATGCATTATTGATGAGCACATTTTCAAAAAATGAATTTACAATAAGAGCAATAAGAGAAGTTGGGGTCAGGGTTTATTTAACTTTTTTCTTTTTTTTTTTTGTTCAAATAAAACTGTTTCAGAGAGGAAGGAAATGCATAACAAAACTAAAAGGGATGTTTGAAACCACAAACGAGACCGACAACAGACTGAGAGTAAATCGTGCGTGTCACCAGGGAAATTTAACATTGCTGTGTGAGGGAGAGGAGGGGGTAATGAAAACGAGGAAAGCCCTTCTGTCTATCTTCTCCTTCTCTAAACCACAACATGACAGTTCAACAACAGCAGTTTCTTTTCTGTTCTGAAAGGAATCACCCTACAACAACCCAAGTGTCCGGAAACCTACCGTAAGCACTTCCTGTATGAGAACACCAGATGTCTTTTAAAATAGATTTTGGGCATTGTCACTGATAATATTACAGATCAAAACCTCACATTTAATTATTTAATTTATTTTTTTACACGACAAACTTGAAAAAAACCAATCGAATGGGTCATTAAAATTATTCAAACTTAAAGATCCTATAGAAATGAATTGGGACAATATCCAACTCAGTTCTTAGGCCGTCAAAAGGAATATTATAGTCTTTGCTCACTCTTGTGAAATCCAAACCTGGCAAACTTTGAAATCTTGTAAAAAAAACTGAAGGTTTTCTGGAATTGCGGCCTACCCGGTCTCTCACAAAGTGACCACAGGAGACCAGCTCTCCTGTGACCCAGAAAGGAAAACGTGAATAAGGAAAATGGATGAACAGATACATATTTTCTTAATCTGAGTTTAGAAGACACAAGGTCAGATTATTTCAGACAAGTTGTACCTTTGCTGCTTTGGTCACCAGATACTCATGCTTCTTGGGTTCAAATTGAAAAGGAAGTTGTCTGTCACAGGTGAAAACAGCACACACAAAAACACAAGCAGGATATGTTGTGTTCTCTCTGCAATACCCCCCCAATCAAGAGCTCATCCATTCTTTAAAGATTTGGTACACTGCATTATTTTAAACAACGTGTCATGTGGGCAGTATGACGGTTCACAGCCTCGCAGCATAAAGGTCCTGGGTTTGATCCCCGRTTTAGACCAGGGRTCTTTCTTTGAGGAGGTTTCATGTTCTCCTGGTGTTTGCGTGGGTTTAATTACTCCAGCTTCCTCCCACAAGCATCCTTTGCAAAAGWGATCTGTGATCTCAGTGGGATTTGCCAGGTTAAAAAAGGTAAATAAAAAGACGTAATTTGTACTGCTAAACATGCTGAGAGCTGCATGGTGCYTATAATAGACAGATGGTGCATGTGGTGCATAAGTGTGAAATGACAGCCATTTTTCACCCTGTTGAGCCAAAATAGCAACCACTAAGCTTAATGTGGGGGTATGACTTGGACAAAGTAAAATTTATTAGCCTCTCCTGAGGCGTAATTAATTTGTGATATCAAATATGAGGTGATCTGGTGATTTGTTCAGGTATTAAGTAACAAGAGAGCTAATCGTGATTTGTTGACTGCTGAGGCTGATTTGACAACAGTCTGAGGTTTTACTAAAGTATTCAGTACAAATGTTTTTATACTACACTACATTTAACACAACAGATTATGTAGTTTTATTAGAGATCAGAACACCCCACTGTGGTAAAATAAACTTTAGTATGCAGTATTGGTTCATCTTTTTTCCTGACTTTGACACTGACCTTCAGTCTGTCTCTGAACAATACTTTTCTTAGAAGTAAAATATCTTCCAGCTTGTGGTTTGGACTCAGCATGGCTCACCAATATGTCACACGATGACAAGTACCTCATTTCTTTCTAATAAAAAGTGTTTTTAATCCTTCTGAGAACAATGAGGGGCATTTTGGTAAACCAAACAAATGTTTCTTTTTTTCTCCTAATTATTGCCCCATTCAGCTGACACGACTGTCTATAACACATCTTAACTGATTYTGTCCATATGCTAAAAGTTTAGGGGGAAAATGACAAAAACAAAACACATTTTTTTTCAAGTTGATATTAGGTGTCAAAGGTAAAAATAAAATTATGCAGAAATTGATTTATAATAGAAAGACAATAAAAAATGTCCTGCATGAAATAAATTATTTTAAATGTTATCTCTTCGTAAGACCTACGTTTTAGGTTCAAAAGAGCACGTTTATGTAGCATAAGTTAGTTGTTTCTTAGAAATCAAACCAAGACAATCACTTTAAATAATAAGCATCTTGGTAAACTTTAATAGTTGTTTCTTTTGTCATGTTTTTACTTMTGTAGAACCAAACAAAAGTTTAACCCTGACACCAGCATCGTAAGCGTATTGTCATGGAGTTCCTCAAAGTTCTGTGTTTGGACTGATAGTTTTCACTTGCAAAGACTTCCTTTAGGTAGCATTAGCAGTGTATGCAATGCTATGCAGATGACAYTTTCCTTTATTTCTTTTTCAATCAGGCCAAAGAGAACTAAATAAACACCAAGCATAGTACCGG